GCTCACAGGGGAGGGTGGGGGGCTGGAGCTACTGGAGCTACAACGAGCCGTTAAAAGGCAGAGAGTGAAATTCAGTGAATACACGTAGTTTACAGAGATGCTGTATGAGAAACCAAAGTGATTTTGGAAAATTTCACAATATAAATCTATTCTAGTAGACCTCAACAATGGAATTATGATCAGTGGAAATGGCCATGAAATGGGACCTTTCAGGAAATAACACTTGCAAATTTGGAAGGAAAGGGCCTAGTATCTAAATTCTACAACATGATGGTTGCATTTGACACTGAATCAGCATTAGATAAATTAAGTGCATGGAAAACGGATATAAAAGAGGATATTGATGAGGAAGATTGGAATGCTGCTTGCCTAAAAGCACAAAGTCAGACAATAAATACTAGGTTCAAATGACTTCAGTATAAATGGTTAATGAGAATGTACATAACTCCTGTCAAACTTCATCATATGTCTGCCAATATTCCAGATGTCTGCTCTAAGTGTTTGGATGAGAAAGGAACTTTATTTCATTGTCTTTGGGATGTCCACAATTTCAAATCTTCTGGAAGGATGTTATTAGGTGTCTGTCAGAGATGTTTAACATTAATGTTCCTTTGAACGTCAAACTTTGTGTACTTGGAAAATATCCAAAGAACTTCAAACAGACTTCAAAACAAACCAAACTTCTGGATTTTGGCCTTCTCCAAGCCAGGAGGGCTATCGCTTTATGTTGGAAATGTACGGATGCCCCCTCACTGAGGATTTGGTTGAAGAAACTTTCTGGAAGTGTGGGTCTAGACAGACTGACTTACATCGCTAAGGGCAAGCGGAAGGACTTTGTTCAGCTCTGGGAGCCATATATGCTTATTATGAGGGACGGGAATGTGGACTGCCTTTGAAAAGAAACTGTGAAATTATTTCTGTTTTATTTATTTTATTTGTAGGCCTATGCTTTTAATACTGGTGCAATGTGAGGGTGTGTGTATGCGTGTATGTGTTTGTGATGTACTTTGTTGTTCAATAAGAAAATACCAATAAACATATTGTGGAAAAAAAAAATATATATATATTTATTAACACATACACCACTGTTATGTCGTAATATATATGTGTTTACATATTTTTTGTTGTTAAATATTGTAATACAATGTGTACATTTTAAATTGTAATGTATTATTGTTGTATAAATATATTTATTCTATTTTATTTTATCTTCTTATTGCAACTTTTTACTATAACGTCTTTTATTTCATTCTGAAATGGAGCAACTGTCCCAGACCTAATTTTAAAAAGGATAAATAACTGCTTCTAACATATTCAATTAAGAGACACGAACATGTGTTAAAAAAGTGCACACACAGATATGAATCATGAAATGATTTGCTGCAGTCTTTGGGTTGAATAGAAAGTTGCCAACTTCTCCTTGGCAATGACCTGATCTAGGTCTGCATGATATGATAAAATCCTAGTTAGCATTATTTTGACTGACATTGTGAATACGATATAGGAGGGATTGAACATTTTGGATTCGTTCTTCAAATAAACATTGAAAATTAAATCAAAAATGATTAGGCTGTAAAAAAAAAAGTGTGCTAAGAGGATATAACATATGTTTTGTTTAGTCTTTAGAGTACTTTTTGAAGGACTCATTATTTCTACAGCTCTACAATACTTTATTCAAAACATTATCCTTCAACAAGTATTCTGCTTGCTGCGATTTTAATATTGCACTAGTCCAAATTGCAATATCGATTATATCATATACATTGAGTTGATTAATACAGGAAGCTAAAGTCAGGTCTTACCCAGCACATGCAGTTTCCTCAGGCCTTTGAACGCCTCCTTCTGGATTTTATTGATCTTGTTTTCGTGGAAGCGGAGCTCGATGACGTCAGGAGGAAGGTTTGCGGGGATCTCAGTTAGATGGTTGTAGGAGAGGTACAGCAGTCTGAGGTGTTCCATGTTTCTGAAGGCCTTGGGGTGAATCTTGGAAATCTTATTGTGGATCAGAAACAGGCCCTGATGTAGGAGAAAGGAAAATGAAATGCAGTACATTCAATATTACTTTTTACAGTACAGTATATATTGAGTATACGGAGTCCCAAGTAATCTCTTATTCCTAAAAATAAATGTTTGTCTGTCATGTTATATACGAAAAGGAGATGTCTTCTCATTTTTTACAAATGTTTGACAGTCAAACTTGGCTTACTTCAAAGCTGTTTGTTAGCTTCGAAAATACTCTAGTTTCTTTATTTTGTGCAAAATCAGAATTAATCACATTTAAAGGGAGCTCAACCCTATTCAGGTTCAGGTCAGCTGCGCCACTCAGCTCTTGATGACAAGCCAATGCATGACCACAGAACGTCATACTGTCCTTACTTAGTTTGCTTTGATACAGCAGAGTATTATTCAACTTTAGGCCTTAATGTGGTTTATTCTCAGCTGAAAAAACATTTGTTAAATCAAAGACAGACCTGTTGGTAGACCTCATATTTTCTAATGAGTTTCATACAAAGGAACTGTAATATGTCAGGCTGCAGGCTACATTCTGACTGATATTAGAGAGCCGTTTCTTTTTATCTGGTAACTTTGAAAGCTGTCATTTCGTGGAATTTGAGTCTGATTGGGAGTGATTGAAGATCTGAACCAAATCTTGGCATTTTGTAGAGGGAAGTAATAGGAAGTCATTAGTTCTGTTTCTAATATGTCTAGGGCTTATTTAGTTGATTTTGGCTCAAGAGATGCACATTTTAGGAGTCGGGGGGAAATATTTTCAAATAATAAATGCTTGGATCAATTGACCAATTCTAAAAATTATTTTAAAACATTGTTAAATTGTATGTTCGCCTGAAAAAAATCAAGCAAGTCTATACAGAAATCGTAATGGCTTGCATTGCACTTGCTCCAAACAAACTCTTCAATTTATTGTATATTTATTTTATTTTCTGAAGGAAAGACATTGGCATAGATGTACAGTATATGGTAATTTAACAACATTTCCTGCAGCATATTTCTGCTTTAGATGCGTGCAGGAGATTTGGCTTGAATTGATCGGATGGATTTGTTCATTCATTACGTCTTGAACTCTGGACATGTCTTTTGTTTACATCTGTCTAATGTTAACAGAGAGGGGTTGTGGTGTTTATCATTGTGTGCGGGTTAAACCTGTGCTCAAGGTTCCTCTTACATGAAGTTTGTTGAGGCCCTTAAAGTCGTACTCCTTGATCTCAGTGATGTCATTGTTCTGGAGGTCAAGTATCACAGTGTCCTCAGGAATCTTCTCAGGAATAGAGATATGACCTGTTGGCAGAAAAAATGACTTATTGAAGACCAGAGTTGGACTAAAAGTGATGAGAGAGCTCATTCTACAACAATGTGTGCAATACAATACTGAGATGTACAGGTGAAGAAGTAATTGTTGTGTTTTTGACTCAAACGCTACCATCTCAGTTAAAGTTAACATTTTCATTGATGCAAGATGGATAAAACAATCAGCAGTATTTGTTACTCATCTTGTCACTTTCTGACATAAAATAGTCAAGTTAAAATAATATAAACTATCTATGAAGCACCAATGAACACAGTTGTATAGTGCTTTGAAGTGCTTTGAACGCTAAAGCAGGATACAAGGCAATACAACAGTGATGCCAAACAAAAACACAAGCCATTTATATCAATAGCGGTGTTCTCTCACTTTTGTCGGAGCACTGCACCACTCTTGGTGAGCAACGGCAGTCAGAGGGACAGTTCCCATCTTCATAATCATCGTCGTTATCATCGTCGTCGTCTTCATCGCTCTCTTCATCTGCTGAATCAGCCATCATGATGTCATAGTTTTTCATGAATTCCATGACATTAATTGGCTCGTAGGGTTTGGCGTTGCCTATCGCCAGCAGGCAAAGCAGGAGAAAGACCCTCATGGCTTTATTTTGGAGGGTGGGTCCGAGATACAGCAACCAGGGAGAGCTGGGGATAAGAAGGAGGTCAGGTTAGCTCTAAAGTGAGAGGCAGGACGAGATACTGAGGAAATAACCTCGCTAGGAAGGGAAATGTTTTTGTTTCTTTTTTCCATCAGTTTTATTCCAACAAACAGAAAATCATATATCACGATATTTTGATATTGTATACCTTATTGTAGTCCTATCATTGAATATTGGTACAACATTTTATTTGAAAAATAATCTTCGGCATTGTGGATATAATGAGTTATTACACGGCTTAGTTGAATACTGGACAACAAACAATAGTTTATCTCCATCAGAAGACATCATGAATACTTTTTGAATATTCATTTTTAAATTTGCGGAGAGCACCAAACGTTGGGTTGAAGATGGCTAAACTGTCCACAGTAAAGAAAAAGAAAAGATAGAGAAATCAACAGAAGATGACAGACAGGAAGTAAACACTAACTGGACCACAGTACAGGCTTTGGCCTTGTTTAAAGTTAAAACAGTTACAGAAAACCTTGATCAATTATTGAATGACTGTTTCACTAGCAGGCATGTGTAAATGGCATTTTATAATAAGCGTAATCAGGGAACTTGTCTGCTATCTCTCCATCTTTCTCAGGATAGTTATGAAATGCATACAGCAATCAACCAACTATATACAGTACAATGTTTGTAAAAAGAACAAGGAAGAGTTTCACAGGATCTAAACCCATATTGTCTTAAGAGGTCTCCTCTATAAGTGCAGAATTTAGCAGCAATACAAGTGGACCCAACCCAACTAGATTGAAAGTAATTTGGACACAGCCAAACTCGAGTCTTGGGTCAATCGTAGTTACTTGGAGAAAAGCGTTGTTGTATGGCTCCGCTCCATGTCCAAAACTCGAAAACACACAGTTCCATTTAGATGCAGATTATTTGGAAATCTGATGGAAAATCCAACCGCTAAAGGGTCGCTGTCTCACAAAAGATTGTAAAGAGCAACTATTAATTGTGCTACACACAAAAGGGTTTGTTCCTGACTTTTTTGGACTTAAGTGTAATTGATGCTGTTTTAAGTACTAGATAGATTAAAATCTACTGGTCTTTGAAAAATATTTACATTTAAATTTAAAACAATTTGATAATCACCGCATGCTGTTTTGAGGGAAGGGTTGTATTTGGACCGGCACATCCCTAAGTTTGTGTGTTTAGTCCTTCCTAAGGTATTTAGTTAAAAAAAAGTGATCCAAAGGAATCAATTATTTAAACAGAAAGTAACTGTATTATGAACTGTATCTGCCAAAAATCACGGTTTTATAAGGCCAGAAAATATATTAAAATGTTACTGTACTGTTATATTAAACCAGGGGTGGGGAACCTCCGGCCCCCGGGCCGTATACGGCCCGCGAGACCATTTGCTACGGCCCTCGAGGTAATTTATAAACACACGCAAAAAAGAAAAAAATTAAAGAAATCTAGACCGCAAAAAAATTTCCTGGCCAAGGTCAGGGTCCTTGAACACAACACGAGCCTAACGTGTCATCACGTGGTATATGTCTCGTCTGGCAGGGGAGCATGGCAGGGGAGCACCAGAACGTCACTTTGGCATTTCCAAAAATTGCAGTACCCATAAGGAGCCGTACACATGCCGCAGTTTCTACGTGGCTGTGTCTTTAGCTGTAAGCCCAGTGGCGATCTGTTCTTCTGTCATACTGATCATACAGTCAATAACTTTGTTGTTATTAGCATCTGGTTAGCTATGCTAACGAATATAAGAAGCTTTTTCTCCAACCAGTGAGGTAAAGGCACATCTTTATATGATCATTATAGTTCTAAAAAACAACAGAATAAAGTAAACAGGTATAAAATACTATATGACAGTAAAAAAAGTTGTTATTAATAAACAAGAATACAGATTGAAAGGGGAGTGATTTGTAATATCCATAAAGAAAAATAAATCTGCTTACAGTTCTGTTTCATATGGATGTTGAGAGATGTATCCATAGATCTCCTAATGTTGCTCTCAAAGTGCACCAGATTGATGCTTTTAACTTCAACATTTAAAAACAAATCTTCCCTGGGGAGGTGAGGAACCCCCCCTAGAGGAGGTTAGGTCCCCCCCACTATTAAATCACGTCAACATGGATAGGAAACAAAATACATTTGCACATATCTTGTGTCCCATATACTTTCTGTTTTGGTGTCATGCCACAACGTGCACGTGAATGGATGCACGCAGTCATGGTAAAATATCTGGATTAAGAGGTTGCTTTTTCTTTGCACGGCATGAAAGAAAGGCGAAATGAATGGGCTGGGATTTTTGTATTTTTACGAGCAGAGGTCAATAATTTGTACGGCCCTCGGAGGATGTTTAAAAAATTGAAATGGCCCTTGAGAGGAAAATGGTTCCCCACCCCTTTATTTAAGACAGTTATTCCCTTGTGGAAAGTGTGACATACTGTAACAGAAGGCGTTTGGCAGAATAATCACAGATGTTTGTGAATGATAATATCACATTGACACACCCAAAAAAGCAAGCAACTCCCTCTTGTACATTACTTAATTGCTGTCACATTATTTTACATTCCTTAATCCAATTTATATTTATAAAAGTATATATGTTAGTATGCACATGTTATCCAATTTAAACGGCATAATAATTCATCATGATATCTTTGAGTACGCGATTTTTATTACGATATGATTTCCTTTTTGGAAGCTTTATAGTTAGACCCTCCAGGAAAAATGCGGGCTAAAATCCTTGATTATGCGATTAAAACATGCAGGTTTTTATGTGATTTTATGCGGTGAAATTGCAGGGAAAGTTGCGAATATGCGGGGAAAGTTGCGAAAATAATAGATTTTTTAAATATTGGGCTTGTCTTATTTATTCTCTCTCACACAAACCTGCCACTAACCCCTTTCATATTCAATTAAACACATTCAATGTTTGTATTTATTGTAAAAAGCAATTGGGCTATTTTAATCACACTCTCTCTCTCACACACACCACACCACACACTTTCTCCGCCTCATCTGTTTTCATTTACTCGTGTCCGTTCGTTATCTGACCAGCTTTCATCTTGTAGGGGCTACTCACTTCGTACTTGTAAGCCCTCGAAAGGGGTTTTGGACGGTTGGATGCCTTCGGTGAACCGTGAGTTGTTTGGCTTTCTTCTCCTCATCAGCAGAAAGCATTTGCGAATGTTTGAATGAATCAAAGTTAGTCGTTCACCGTTCGATTTTCTCTAAGACTTACGCTCCAACCACACAGTGCCACGGGGGTGGCAGAATAGTTTCCCCCCACTTCGGTGGAA